AAGTATATATATATATATATATACATAAGTTAAAAAGCAGAAAAATAATTCCAAATTCATGCATTGATCATTTTTAAAGAAGAGGCAACTTTTATGGTTGCTAGAGAAATTCCGAAGTTGTCGGAGAAGACGAAAATTACAGGTGAAGCAGATCGTCTGTGAAAGAGAGGGAGAAGGGAAGTTACATGCTTAGGGCAAAAAATAAAGTGTGTCACTCAATGTGTCAACATGCAAGACCTATATAAACTGTTTCACACTTAAATATAAAATAGAAAATTTGAATAATGGACAAAAATACCCTTGTTTAATTTCAGTTTTCTTTGTAAACTGCTCCAAATTTCCGCACCAGACCAGGATAGCGCCACTCTGCTCTGCTGCGATCTTGCCCACTCCAGTTGCTACACAAAATCGCTCCACTCCAAGGTTTCTGTAGTGGCACAGAGCCACTCTGCTACACTGCTATCCCAGTCGCTACTGCCACTATTGATAACTATGCTAGGCTCTAAACCCACATTCTAAGAATAGTAGATGCACTAGTGGCAATTTTTGCTACAAGATTTCCAAGTTCCCACTGTCTGCCATCTTACTGTCTTTTTCCATTGAAGAGTCTAGTTTATTGTATTTACTTTTGTCAAATATCATTTGGGATGTCTTACAGACTAAACACTGTATTTATATTTTTGAGTGGTGATTGATGTTTTGGATTTTGATTTTATTTTTGTTAGTTCATGAATGCTCCTTTAAAATATTGTCAAATATGATAAATTGCATTCACGAAATTTCAATTTAACAGGGATGGTTGCTGCTTTAACAAATGAAAGTGCCACCAGCAAATCAGTATACTTTGCACACTGTACCTCAGAGATGATTTTTATCACTCATCTATTGACAGAAGAACCAGAGAAACTTGCAGGGCCACTTTTGGCCGATACTTATGTAACCTTGTTGAAAGGCCGTAATGCATGGTATGGACAGAAGCTGGCCAAAGGTGAATTGAGCCTTGAAATGGGTGACAGTATCAAGGGCAAGGGGATGATTCAGGTATAGAGTTTGTTCATTCAAGTTCCAAAATTCCCTTTGGCTCAGGGATGATGGTTGATCTTGCTATCTAAGAAGAAAGAATTAAGGCATAACTATATTTTTTATCACAGAAAATATGATTCTTTCTATACTAGTCCCCTATTTGAATTTTATTCTTTTTCAACCTTTAAAAATTACAAATTAATTACTTTTAGTCCTTGGTGACTGGTGAGACCAAAAATGCATTTCTTTTGGTTAAAAATAGGAAGTGAAAATGAATAAAATTTGAATAGGAACTAAAAAGAAAAGGTCATATTTCAGGAATCAAAATATATATTTGAATTGATGTTGTAATGTGAACCATGGGGCAAATAGAGAGTGGATTGGGCTGGATGTTTATGTATTGTCTAAAAGATTCAAACCAACTATATGCTTATATACACTTTTCCTGTCTTTATTTGCATGATGTGGGGAACTTGGTAGTTCTCCAGTACTCTCCCTTCAGACCAATTGTATTGGTCCATATGTGGCTTGTAGGGCATAGGTCCCTTTTTTATATGGTCTAGGTGTTTGGGCTCTGATACCATGTTGAACTTTGTAGGCCCAATAAGAAAGTGTGGACTGGGCCGGATTTGTATCCAGCATGAGAGGAATATTGTCCAAAAGATTTGAACCCATTGGACTGCATATATACTGCCTTTTTGCTTGTGATTGCTGGCCAAAGTGGGACATTATAGTTCTCCAATCATTGAAGATAATAAAAAGTGTTTTTTACTATGGACATTGCTGTTTATCAATGATTATTTTGCTTTGCATGTTGTAGGGAGTTTCTGCTGTTAGAGCTTTTTATGAGCTACTTAGCCATTCCAGCTTAAATGTCCTTAATCCTGAAGAAAACAAGCATGTAGCTCCAGTGGAGCTTTGTCCCATCTTGAAGATGTTGTACAAAATACTGATAATAAGGTAACAACATTTTGCCACCTCCTTTGGATGAAAATGCTAAACTGAATTCAATTGTGAAACTAACATTTTCAGTGGTTTTTGTTGTGCTTGATTTTCAGGGAATCTCCTACCCAAGCCATTCTGCAAGCATTAAGAGATGAGACCATGAATGATCCCCGTGAGCGCATTTTGATTGCCCAAAGCCATGTGTTTTATAGGCCATCTCTTCTTGGTCACAAGCCTTAGTGTTTGGTTCTACGTTGAAAAGCTTCCAACACCACTTTAAATCTAGAGTGCATTGCAACACTCTGATCTCAATGACACAGTCTCATGATGTTTGTAAATATTATTTTGTATATTTCTTTCCCATTCTCATCGCCTCCAATCATGGGTTGTTGTCATGCTTGGTAAGATTTTGACTCTAATAATGGATTGTCAATTTGTCATGCATGATAAGATCGACTTTTGTAATAATCACGTCAAAAATTATATTTAAATTTATTTTGAATTGGTTGATTATAAAATTTGTTTCAAAATTAAATTAAACACGTGCACAGACACTAGGAGTTATAAATACTGGCAAGCAAAGAAAATTTTCATCGTATAAGGCCGTTAAGTCTGATAGCCGTTCAAGTTGAATGATATTTGTTTGTCTATTATCCTCATCAGTTGTATGGTCTATCATAAAATATACACCAAATGTTCAATAAAGGAAAAAAAAAAGACTTAAATGCATTTAGTCTATAATTACTTGGTTTTAATTTTGGTCTTTATAAATTATTTTTTAATTTCTATAAAATTAAAATTATTATTTTTAGTTCTTATTTTTTATGTGATCATTTATAACTTTTTTTTTGTTTATTATAAGATTTGATTGATAGTGATATTTTTAAGAAAGTATGATAAAAGTTTAATGTAACCTTATAAATGATTGTCCTTTATTTATATACTTTTTAATTGTCTTATTTATAGTATGTGAGATTTGAACTTTTTCTAATATATTTCTTTATGTTCAATATTATTGAATATGGTACATGATGGTAGGTGATCATTTATATCAATATTTGATATCTTTTAATTTTCATATCAGTCTTTAAAATAATTATTATATATCTACATTAAAGTGTTTGTTAAGGACAAAAAAATAGTAACTTTAAATTTTAGGGAGATGAAATTCAAAGAAAACATTTACAAAGGTCAAAATCTAAATTTATTCATTTCACAATACCTACAATTGATGTTTTCAAAATTTTAGAAGGATAAAAAATAAATAAGTTTTTATAAAAATTAAAATAAAAGAAATTAAAAAAAAAAGCCACTCATTTTACGTAGACTTAAAATATATTTAAATAAGAAAATTACATTTCCTCCGTCGTTGGAGCTTTTGTACTTATCCAAAGTTAAACTTAGAAAATTCTTAGTAGTACAACATGAAATCTTCAATTCTAGGCCGTGTTCAGAAAGTCCTAGCAGGTATTCCTAGTATTCATTGCTCTTTAGCTTCAAGATTGATAAGTTATATATTGGAGTCTGAAAATCAAAGGAACATACATTGTGGTAAGTGGTAACTAATAAGTGGAGTAACTAAAGATGCTTTTTACCTGTTGCTGGAAAATGAGTTCGCTGTTAAAAGAGATTAGGATTTTTAGACGTAGTAGGAAGAAGAATTACGAGAAAGAAAAATTTGCATGTAATGTGAGAAATGACTCAAAATCAAAATGTGAGAGTAGTGGTACGGTGGATAGCAACTAATAAAGGTAATTTTGAATTTTTTTTCAACATAGTTGACAATTTTATTTTTAAGGTGTGGGGAGCATCCCAAGGATATAATAGGAACACCTTAGAATAATTGAGATCACAAAATTAGCAAGAAGAAAATTTAGAACTTAGAGTACAAAAACATAGAAGATATGCGGGAGAGAAGAGTGAGTTGTGTTTTTCCCCTTCAATAGAAAATAAAAAATTATTAAAATGAGATATTATGAGTAATGAATTTCAGAAGATGCTAAAATCATTACTCTACTAAAATCTCCTAAATTTCAAAATTATTTAAAAATAATATTAAAAAAAAGACGTAAAAATTTACAAGTAGCACGTGTATCTCGTGCACAAAAAGAACAAATCGACTGATTTGTACTACAAAGGACCTACTTGATTGATGTACAATGTGAGTCATCACTCTTATTAGCCTCTTTGTATATTTATATCACTACTTTATATATAACCTATTTTCCAAAGGCAATACAAACCAATGTGAAATTTCTTCCTTTTGTAATACCTTATATATAACAACACTTACCAAAGAATCATTTTTCCCACTCTTTCTCAAGAGAATAAAAAATAGATGAACATCGCGATATTATTTTTCTTGGAATAAAATATGTTCAAGAATCATTATTTTATTACCTAATAACAAATATGAGATTACATTTTTTTCAACCCTTAGTCATGAGAATATTAAAGATAATTTGATATAAGCATCTATAAGTCTTATTTTAACAAAAGAGAAATGTTTAGAAAACACTCATTTGAATATACTTTTTTTAATTGATTGAAATTTATCGAAAAATATAAAAGTTGGTATATTGGTATTTGGTAAGATTTTATTAAAGAGTTTGTTACTAGCACTATTCTTTATTAAAATAAGATGTTTTTAGATTTCTTGAAGTATAACCCAAAATATTTTATAAAATGGTTTATTATTTCAAATTAATATATCTGAAGTATGAAAGTCATGTAAAATGACTTTCGAGAGGGGATTTTGAATATAATAAAGATTATAATATATGTAAAATGTTAGATTAGATGGTTTGATCTAAAAGAAAGGTGAATTGAATTTTTTAAAATTTTGCTTGAGAACTTTCTTGATTAAAAACTTTTCTTTAATTCCTAATTAATCTAATTGAATTTAATTATTAGCAAGATAGAGATGTTGATACCTTATGTAATACCTTATGTTAATAACTAAATGATTTTGGACTATGTAATATCTTAGGTAGTACGATATATGATATACATGTCATGTCAATTTCACATTTTGTTTTATTCACGTGTTAATAAACTCCCTACTTTATAGGGGTGAACTAATCTCTAGGATAGTGGTTTACCTGTTTCATTTATTCCTATTTTAATGTCATACAGTACGTGAGTTACTGTTTTTCTGTTTGTATAAGGCTTATATAAGCCAACCTTTGTTTCTGAATAAAGCACATTCTCTCAAATTTTATTCTGTGCATTATCTATCTTTGAATTTCAACAATTGGTATCAAAGCTCTGCAAGGGGCCTGAGAAAAAGTAAAGAGTGAGAAGCGTGAGACTAAAGAGTGGAAAGCATAGAACATCTAGTAAGTGTGAGTTGCAACGTGATTGCAAAGGATGTCTATCTCAGAAAAGTTTGTGCAACCGGTCATTCCAAGGTTTGATGGTCACTATGATTTCTGGTGCATGACAATGGGAAAACTTCTTATGCAGCAAAGAACTATGGCAGCTAGTAGAAGATGGCATACCAATGCTTGGAGCCACACCTACTGAGGCAAAATGGAAGAGTGTGGCAGAGGCCAAACTAAAAGACTTGAAAGTGAAAAATTACTTGTTTCAAGCCATTGATCGAGAGATTTTGGAAACTATGCTGGATAAAAGCATGTCACAGGTGATTTGGTAGTCCATGCAGCAAAAATACCAAGGATCAACAAGAGACAAACACGCCCAGCTCCAAGCGTTGCGCTATGAATTCAAGTTACTGGCCATGAAAGATGGCGAGAAGGTGGATAGCTACCTAGCACTCTCAGTATCGTCAACAAAATGAAATCAAATGGTTAAGTAATAGATTCAAGCACAGTGGTTAGCAAAATACTCAAATCCCTAACTGCGAAATTTAACTACATAGTATGTTCCATCAAGGAATCTATAGCTGATAGTCAGGGCGCAACTCTTTTTACTTAAGAGCGCAGCAGCCGAAACGCCATGATTCGACAGTGACTTGGCCTACCTAGCCTCCGTCACGGGACAATGGTTGCAACCCGCAACAATCTCCCCCTCAGCAATTGCCCCGCTGGGTATCGAACTCATGACCTTGGCTCTGATACCAATTGTTGGATCGAGCGCTTACCACTAGGCCAAAAGCTATAGCTGATAGTCAAGGCTCAACTCTTTTTACTTAAGAGCGCAGCAGCCCAAGCGCCATGATTCGACAGTGACTTGGCCCACCTAGCCTCCGCCACGGGACAATTGATGCAACCCGCAACAGTTAGCAAAATACTCAAATCCCTAACCGCGAAATTTAACTACATAGTATGTTCCATCAAGGAATCTAATGATTTAAGCACCCTAAGTGTTGATGAACTCCATGGTAGCTTGCTCGTCTATGAGCAAAGGATGCAAAGTATTCAACCAGACGAACAAGTACTGAAAGTCACCCATGATGACAGATCAGGAGCAGGCCGAGGTCGCGGTAGAGGTGGTCGTGGCCATGGGCGAGGACGTGGAAGATAGTCTCTAAACAGAGCACTCATCGAGTGCTTTCACTACCACAAACTAGGTCACTTTCAATACGAGTACCCTAAGTTGGAGAAGAAGGCACACTTTGCCACATTTGAAGAAGCAACAGAAGCAGAAGATGAATTTCTGTTGGTGGTGTATGAAGAGGCGACCCAAGCTGTCTAGAAGGAAGACTGGTTCCTAGACTCCGGTTGCAGCAACCATATGACCGAAAATAAACTTTAGTTCACAAAAGTAAAAGAAGAAGGACTCAGTAGAACTGTCAAACTTGGAAACGACACCACGATGATTGCCGCTACAAAAGGGAACATCTGAGTCCAAATCAATGGCACCACTCATGTGATATTAGACGTTTACTATGTCCCTGAGCTTAAGACCAATCTCTTAAGTCTAAGGTAACTCCAACGGAAAGGCTTAGCCATCCTAATTCAAAATGATGCGTGTAAGATTTTTCATCTAGATCGGGGCTTGATTCTTCACACCAACATGAAAGGAAATAGAATGTTCTATCTATCTGCCTCAATGATTTCTCGCCATCCCCGGTGCCTCCAAGCTAAAGACATTTCGGAAAAAGAAACACACTTGTGGCATAAACGCTTTGCACATCTCAACTTTAAGGGACTCAGCACACTCGCAAGCAACCAAATGGTGATCGAACTACCATCTCTGAAACTTCCTAAAGTGATGCACACTACTTGCCTTACTGGTAAACAACATAGAGATCCCATACCAAAGCACAGTTCATGGAGAGCATCAACCAAACTTCAATTGATCCACGCCGATATCTGTGGCCCCATCTCACCTTCGTATCACAGCAACAAAAGGTATATTCTAAGCTTCATTGATGATTACTCCCATAAAGCTTGGATCTATTTCCTGAATGAAAAATCTGAAACACTATCTACTTTCAAGAGCTTCAAGGCTTGTGTTGAAAAGGAAGCTGGTACCTACATTACCTGTCTTAGAACCGACAGAGGTGGTGAGTTTACTTCTAAGGAGTTTGCAAATTTTTGTACTCAACAAGGCA